AGTTAGAGCCCTAACTCATACCATATTTTACAAATACTGGGAAAAAATATAGACTATTTATAACCTAGGATAGAGAAGGAATGTAAATGCATTAAAGGAAAAGACTGACAAAATGACTACATAAAACTTTTACACAATAAAAAACAATAAACAAAATTAAAAGACAAATTACGGAATGGAGAAAAGTTTGCCACAGACATAGTATTCATAGGATGCATATTCAGAATATATAAAGAAGTCCTTTAGAGCAGCATGAAAAAAAAAAAAAACAGAAACTTACACAGAAATATCAGTGGGTAATTCAAAGGAGAAGAAATCTAAAAATCCAATGAAATTATGAAACAATATTCAACCATACCAGTAATCAGGGAAACAAATATTATAACACTGAGACCATCATTTTTCCTTCAGATTAGTAAAAAATTTAAATGCCGATAATATTAAAAGAAGATGTGGGCAAAAAAGTAATCTGATATACTGATGGGATATACATTTGTTCTACAGTAATAACTATTAATATTTTAAATGACCGAATAATTTCATGTTTAGAGATCTACTCTGAAGAAACACAGGTACCCAAAAAAGGTACCTTTATTACGATGCTGTTTGTAATAGTCAAAAACTGGAAATAATGTAAATGCACATCACCAGGGAACTGGTTACATAAACTATAATATATATATGATATTCAATACTAGGCAATTTAAAGAAAAGTATATAGACGACCGCTAAGGAAAGATCTCCAAAACATATTTTTGGGTGAAAAAAACCATGAAGATCAACATCAAATGATACCATTTATGTAAATAGAATATATTTCTACAATACATATTGATAGGAATGAAAGTTAGAAAATTCTGAACAGGTATACACCAAATTGATAGTAGTGGTTATCTAATAAACAGTGAATGGGCTTGGGAGGTGACTGATTTAAAAGTTTAAAACACTATAAATAATGAAACTATATTTATATTTTACTTGTGTAATTAAAAATAAAAATTTTAAAAAGGATTAAAAATGTGAAATATACATATAATATAAAACTAAGAAATACATAATACATAAAAGTAAAAGGAGTGTCTTTTAATATATTACTCCTACAGTTTAACAATGATGTTTACAATTAATATGAGGTAGTTTTTTTTTGCAATTTGAGGCAAAGATTAATTTTAACAGTAATAACCTGATGTTGGCAATGGTGTAAAGAAATGTACTCCCAAATTCTACCGATAAAAGAATACACCGATATTGCTAACCTGTGCGATTTAAGGACTATTTGGTTAAAATTTAAAATACAAATATGTAGTGATGCAAAAATTCTCCTTATAGGAATCATGTCCTCCCTCCACCCTAGAGGTCAGCCACTCTCCTGACTTTTATAATAATCATTTCCTTGTTTCTTTTATATTTTTACCACTTATGTATGCATCCTGTATTAATTACAGTAGGATAAACTACCATAACAAAAAGAATACAATAGTTCAAACACAACAAAAATTTAACTCTCTGTTAGGGTGGGCATTGCAGGTTGCCAGGGGTCAACACGGTCAAGAATTGCAGGCTGATGGTGGCTCTGCCATTCTCAGCTCATGACTTCAAATACTGCTCTGATGACTGCCATCCTAGTCTACAGAAGAGGACAGAGAAGCATGCATGGGAAGTTTTAGGAAACAGACACAGAAGTGGCACACAACAATTCCACTCTCTAGCACTGAAGAAAATTTTGTCACACGTGCACACCTAACTGCAAGAAAGGCTGAGAAATGAGGTGTAGCTGGGCAGTCACGTGCCCAACTACAATTCCATTATTACGGAAGAAGGAAAGAACAGATTTTGATGGACAGACAGTAGTACTGCCACACATCTCTGAACCATATGGCTGAGTTCTGCCTGTTTTTAAACTTTAAATGAATGGAAACATAGTATGTGATTCTTTTGTATCTGGCTTCTTTTATTTGTGTTTATGCTCTTTGGACTAAACTGTCCTAAACAAATGTGTGCAAGGAATATGGTACAGGAAGAAATGCTCAAGCTAGGAGTTACGCTACCTAAGCTATACAGTCCCAGAACGACAACTTCATTCACAAATCACACCTTCTGGACTCCATTTCCTCATCAACATGTACAGAGTTGATAACTGTGCTCTTAATCTCCATGATTGATCATGCTACCCACTCATCTTTAGTCAAATATGTCATTTCCACAGCTTTTGTATCATGAATTTGCACTGAGCCAGTCATTCCACTCACTTTTCTCCCAGTACTCTCTCCAGGAAGACTGATAACTAGCATTTGTATAATGGCTGCTTGGAGTACGAGGTACCTTTTATATCCAGCAACCACAGCAGTAGTAACTGGTTTGAACTTAAGCCCTTAAGACACTGGCTTCGTTAATACTATATTCTAACTAAACTAATTCACCAAAGACTCTATACATGAAATACTTAAAACTGATTACTAAGCTATTTGTTTCAAAGAAAACACTTCAAAAATATCTTTGTGTCTGTTAACAGTGGTTGTTTCTGGATTCAGAAACTGGGTGGTTGGAGGAGCAAGGTGAGAGGGTAGCAGACTTTTTGTGATAGTTTTAAGATACGTCCATAAATTCTCTAATATCCCTCTCTTCAAAACGTGAGGCCTAATTCTCCTCTTTATAGTGTCAGCTATACTTGGTGACTCACTTCTAATAAACAGAAAGTAGTAAAAATGATGGTGACTTATGAGGCTACGTCATAAAAAACACAGAGGCACGCACATGTGTGTGTGTGTGTGTGTGTGTGTGTCTGTCTGTCTGTCTTATCACTTGGAAAAACTAGCTGCTATGTCATAAAGACATTTAGGCAGTCTGCTAGGGAGGTCCACACAGCAAGGAACTGATATCTCCCCAAAGCTGGAGACCTTCCCCAGATGAGGAACTGAGACCTTCTACCAACAGCCATATGAGTGAGCCATGTGAGAAGTGAATCTTCCAGCCCCACTCAAGCCTTCAAATGACTACTAATTCAACCAACAGAGTGACTACAATTCCAAGAGATTCAAGCCAGAACCATCCAGATAAATTACCCCTGGATTTCTGACCCTAAAAAATTGTATGAGATAATATTTATTATCATTTTTAAGTCACTAAATTTTGAGGCAATTTGTTACACAGCCAATAAATAACTAATACACTTATCTATAGATATATTTTTACCTTCTGTTTTTGGTACCATATACATATATTGCCTCTTTTAAAAATGTTTTAAAAATCTCTTTCCCAAACATAATTTTCTCACTCAAATTATAAAAGCTTCTCTAAACTAATAGAGCTCACTTTTGGAAATGTTCTCTATTAAAGACTCTCCCCTCCAAAATATAATAAGTACTACAAACTAGTACTCTTTTATACTCAACTGGACATATCCTCTTAAGGGTATATTATGATCTTGGGAATGCTATAACTTTTGAGGTTGTGGTAGAAAAATTAATGGAATAAATGCAAACAACTGTGCGATATAATAATGCAAATGCAATCTCAGTGGTTAAAAAGGAGCTTGCAGGCATTTTAAGGCTCCACTTTCAACTTAGAATGAAAACATATAACGAAGAATTCACATTCAACCACAATCAGATAAGGAGTATGTTTCTGTTTCACAATGCTTTTTTTTAAACCAAGTTTTAAGAGTGACAGATAGGTGGTGTTCCTCAAATTAGTCTTAAAGATTCTTCTCAGATTTAACTTCAACCTAGCAACTATTCTCCTTCCATGAACTAGCAAAGGAGAAAGATTAATGGAAATAAAACAAAACCAACTTTTAAGGAACATGTCATAAAATACTGTAGTGATAAAAAAAATTATAAATAAAACCTTTTGTGAAGTGCATTTAATAAAACTGGCGTGTGACATTATCTCACAAGAGTTCTATCAAGAAGCAAACAAAAAATAAGTCAATAATTTGAGGAATGAGAGCAGGGAATCCTAGTCAATGGTTATGTCTACATAAACTAATAATTTAGTTTTTAGTTCAATTGTTTGGTAATTCAAAACTATTAGGTGTTAAATAGCTCTGTTACTTACTAGTTGTATGACCCTGAACAAGTTATTTAACTTCTCTGTTTTCTCATCTTTAAAACAAGCTAATAGTTCCTAATGCATAAGGTGGTTGTAATAAGTAAACCTGGTAACTCATAAAGTAAATTTGGTAACTCATAAGCATAAAAGCACTCAATAAATGGTATGCGGTAGTGGCATTTGTAGACTATGTATATATGAAAAGTAGTATTCAAAAAGTATTTGATTTTAATAACTCTAACTTCATTATTGAAGTTATCCTTTGAAAAACAGTTGGTAGGTGGTCCCTCTAATGCTCTGCCTCTGAGAAGAGACCACCCTCTGTCTGTGGAGTATTATCCCTTTTCTAATAAACTTTCCCTTTAACTCTAACTTTGGTGTGTGTGTTGAATTTTTTCTACACTCTCCGCCTAAGGACCCTCTTCCAAAAAGGAAAAAAAAAAAAAATACACTAGTTGGTAGGGGGGAAAATGCACCAAAAGAGAAGAGAAAGTAAAAAACCCTAGATTTAAAGCCCATTAAATACGGAATACACATTTCATAGGTGTTTCCATTAAATGTTAAGTTGTATGTGATAACAACTACCTACTTCTCAACATTATTGAACTATACAGAAGTTCTTGGGCTTTATAAGAAACTTGAAAATAGAACTGATATTAAAGCATGATCTATCTGATCAAGATTCTGACAAAAGTATAATATAATCTAAGTCAGGAAAACACCAGAACAAAAAGAATAAAAATAAAAAGAGAAGATATTTTTGGCTAATATTTCTGAGCCTTCCCTTAACCACCCTACCTCTTGTTTTTGTTATTTTTTAACTACATTAGTTAACTGGCTTAAAAATAGCTTTTGATAAAATATTTTTAAAAAGCTGAAGACAGACAGGGGCACAAATGATCAACCGAAAAGCAGTTAACATGTTCATAAAGCCACTGATAAATTCTTACCACCATAAAATCGAAGCATACAGCCAAGGTCAGGATTTGTTGCCTCATCCTGTATGCGCACGGGATCGTCATATCCCAGCCTGGATAAGTAATCATAAACAATCTGAAGAGGTCGTTCAGTAGGTTCCAGCCTCCTGTTTGCACAATTCAAAAGAAAAATATTTAGTAAGTAATACAAATGCTTCATTTAATTTATTTTCTTTTAATATGCTCTAGATTTTTTCTTCTATATCAAGATTTTCTTTAATATCACATGATATAACTAATCTAAATAAGTGGTGCTCAAAATTTTTGGTCTCGGGATTCCTCTATAGTCTTGGAGGACCCCAAAGAGCTTTTGATTACATGGGATGTATCTATTGATATTTACCGAATTAGAAACTAAAATTAAGAATTTCCAAACATTTATTCATTTTTAAACAATTATAAACCAATGATGTTAACATAAATAGTATTTTTTGAAAAATATACTTTCCAAAATAAAACAACTTCAGAAAGGACAATGGCACTGTTTTATCTTTTTGTAAATCTCTTTACTAGCTAGTTGAATGGAAAACAGCTAGATTCTCAGATCTGCTTCTACATTCAATCTCTTGTGATAACATGCTATTTTGTCTCAAGAAAAATCCACTGTACATGCATCAAAGACTCAGAGTAAAAAAAAAAAATCAATGCCATAATATTATTATGAAATAGTTTTGACCTCACATACCTCTTCAAAGAGTCTCAGGGACCTCAAAGGATCCTTTGAAAACGTCTGGTCCAAACTTAAAGGCAGCAAAATTATGAGATATAACATTATACTTTCATATCTGATTTCGTGTAAGCTGCCCACACAATTAGAGATGCAGACTTTGGGTTGCCTACTATGTCCTAGGTACTATATATTTCATATATAGTACTATATAACATGTGCTTCACAGATGATTCTTCCATAAAAATTAAGAATGAATGGCCTAATAATTAATTCCCCAGAAATCATTCTACCACATAGTGCTGACTGAAAGCTAAAGTAAAATCAGAATGTCTAGTAATCAATTCTGACCTGTAGTGACATTGCATATTTTAAATCACATAGACTTAAATTACTTAAAAATATTAAAAAAACAAAAATGATCAATGTGTATTTTATAAGAGGTTACATCCATAATTACAGTAAGATGGCTTTTACAATTCTTTCATCAGAAAGCAGAGTTGTAAACAAAGTGGCTAAGAGTATAGGCTCCAAAAGTCAGACTGCTGGGTTTGTGTCTCAGTTCTGCCACTTATCAACTACATGTCCTTGGACATGCTGTTTAATCTCACTGTTTTAAATTCCTCACCAGTATAATGGGAATAACAATAGTACCTAACTCTTGGAACTGTTATTAAATTTATTTACTTTCTTACAACAAGACCATATGTAGAATGTAGTGTTTAGTGAAATATCTTGCACGTAGTAGTGTTCAATAGCATATTAACAATTATTATTCAAAAAATTCTTATGGTTGGAACCAAATTTTAATTCGAATAAAAACAGATTTCCTCATCTGAAACAAGTTTAGGAAAGTCTATGTGTGTTCAAAGGTTTTGAAGAACATTAGCATTTATGTCTTAAAAGGATTCTGTTTAGAAAACTTAAGAATTATATTAATTAGAAGAAACACAATACACCTCCCATCATAGCAAAAAGATAGAAAGGACATCTGTGTTCTGTGGCTAAAGGACTAAAAAATACTGTTGGCAGTAAGATCTAAGTAAAAAATAACATAAACAACTATCAAAATGATGATTTAGGAGTACAAATCATACTGATGAGTACAAAAATAAATAAATAAATAAAACCACCACCTGGCCTATTCTGACTGCTCAGTTCAGATTGTAGCTTCCACAAAATCAGCACTACTACATGGGGAATGATCAAAGAATTAAAAGCCTTCAAAGACCTGTAAATACTGAATCTAATAGAAACAGAGAACAAACTTTTCAGAATAAAAACATCAGTTATAATTAATCTCTAGTCAAATAACTATTCATAAGGGGCTATGATAATATTAGGCATTTTCCCCATACAATGGTAGAATTATTCTAAGAAGGATGCATTTTAAGAAGGAATTCTAATAAACTGAATCTTGGAAGGGTCAATTAGCCATGTAATGTGAAGACTGACTGAAGGATTATCCTGAAGACAAGGAGACCAAGGGCATAAAGAGTTATCTATATCTTTCAATGTCAAAAGGATTAGACTTACTCTGGATTGCTGCAAAGAATGAGACTAGGAGCAATAAGAAGTTGTTGCACGAGTAAACCTGGGTTAAAAATGAGGGAGAACCTTAATAATTAGAGATGTCCAATAATGAAACAGACTGCCTCTCAAAATAGCTCACAGAGCTAGAGAACCATCTGTCACTGATATTTTAGAAGAAACTCCTATAAGAATCAAGTTGGGCCAGATGATCTTTAGAGTGTTAGAACTCAAGAGTCTGAGATTATTTTTGGATACAGAGTTAAATTTATTTAAATATCATAATTCCATATAATGATCACATATTCAGGACCAAGAAATAATACTTTCTGGTTAAATCTCATTAGCTCGATTTTTCAATTTCTCTCTAGAAAACCAATAGAAATGGAAACATCCAAATTCTGAAATATTTTATGTGACCAAATTTCCTTTCCTAAAAAGGTTCTATAGATTTTGAAAATCTGTTTATACAGTTCTACCTAAAGAACATATATTCCCTCATGGGAGGAAAAATACTCAAGAGAATCTCCACATCTGCTCTTACTAATTTAGCATAAATGAGTAAATAAGAAATATCTCAAGAACTGCAAAGACAAGTAAAATGAGGGACTAATTCTATTTACTCATTATATCCTCTGCTTAAGAGAGTAAAGAAATGTTTATGGGGAAGGGAAAAGCTTTAATATGCTTACAGTTCAATTTTGTGTTTCAAAGTTCTAGAAGTTTAACAGGCTGGTAATTAGCTATTTGTGAAACCGCACAAATCAAAGGAAAAGTATATACTGCAAAACAGGTGTAGGAGAGAGTAATGTTGGCAGTGGTAAGTTCCGTTCAGCATTTGAAATACTTTTCTACTAACTGCTTTAAGGACAATAATAAGACTACTATAATAGTTTCAGTTTACATCTAAGTCTTCTAGGAGCTATTATGTCTTTATAAATCTGAATACATCTGCATATGATTATTTCTCTCCAAACTAGCCAACGAATACAGTAATGCTATCATCAGTGGTTTATAGCTCTTAGCCAAAAGTAGTAGCCAACGGTTATTCTAAACAGTGCCCAGAGTTAAGGTACACGTAAGAGAGAGTACATTTCAAGTATCAGTATCACTTCACATGAATTGTAGTTAATAGTGGGAGGCAAAAGTACACATTAAAATCCAACAAAGGGAATATATATTATATCGAAGACCCTAACAAAGCACAGCAACGTTCTCTCCCACAAATTCAAATTCAAATTCAATCTCTGGCCACCTATAAAGGTAAAATCTGCAAATGTTAATATTAACAATACAGATAATAACACAAACAACAATAATGCTACTTCAATGAATGTCTACTCCAGGCCCAACACTAAATGGGAAGTGTTTTACATTTTACAAAGCTATACCTATTTTGCAAATAAGAAAAATGAGGTTCAGAGAGTCACACGATTAGTACAGAATGGCATCAAGGTTTGAACCTGTGCTGGTTTCATTATAAAGCCTATCTTCCTTTAGGAAAACTACATTATTTAACGTAGTTAAAATAATTTATGTAGAAGACAGCTCAAAACTCATGTCAACTCACTAAGGAACCTAAAAAGTTGTTTTAAAATTACTATATTTCATTAAGTCTAATACACCATCATTTGAAAAATATGCTATTTTTTATGCATTATTGTATAATAAAGAATTTTACTAGTCTTGTCCCTGATTCCTGGCAGGAAGATTCTAAATCCTTGGAATTTCCTGAGTAATGGGAGTGTTTTAGTTATTCAAGAGCCTCTTGGATAACCCTTGAGTTTATGCTAAGAGATGAAATGACTCAGGATACAGATGGTGACTAGAAAGACCAAGAACGTGGGGAGCTGGGCTGGGTCTTGGAGACAGCTCAACCTTGGGGGAGGAGAGAGGGCTGAAGACTATGTTCAAGCACTTGATCAGTGATCCAATCAATTAAACCAACCAATGAAACCCCCCAAGAAAAACGCTGTATCAAAGTTCTGTGGTGCTTCCTGGTGGGTGAACACATTGATGTCTGGGAGGGTGACATGATGAGAAGGTATATAAGTTCTACATTCAGGACCCATAGGTGTCTCTTCATTTGGCTGGTCCTGATTTGCATCCTTTATACTAAGACTGTAATTATAAGTATAATGCTTTCTTGAGTTCTGTGAGTCATTCTAGTGAATTACTGAAACTGAAGGGATCATGAGAACCCCCAAATTTGTATCCAGTTGGTCAAAAGTATGGCTGGAATCTGCAGTAAGAGCAGTCTTACTGGGGACTATGTCCTTTAACTTGTGAAGTCTATGCAAATTCTGGGTGGTCAGTATCAGAATCATATTGCAATAAACCAGATAGCACTGCAATAACCATTAAGAAAAAACACTGCCAATTAAACTATGACCCAACAACAACTCTAAGATACAAGACAATTTCAGAAGTATTAAAATGTAAAAACAAAAAAGTTTAATAAAAACAAATTAACATATTCTTCTAAAGTTTTAAAATAACACAAAAATATAAAGCAAACCACAAAAAAAGTTCTTTTTCTTTCCTCAGTGATAATCAGTTCAGTATGTATCCCAAAACAAGATTTTTCATTACACTTTTATTTTATTTATTTATTTATTTATTTAGGCAACCCTTGGTTGACCTCACAGATTGCAAGGACTTTGTCAGCTTACAATCCCTTATTTTTTATTTTTTAAGCCTACAGCACCTGGTCTTCCTAGGTGGTCTCCCATCCAAGTACTAACCAGGCCTGACCCTGCTTAGCTTCCAAGATCAGATGGGATCGGGCTTGTTCAGGGTGGCATGGCCGTAGACTCCCATTACACTTTTATAACATCAAAATATGGTAAACAAAATTTTAGTTACTTGCAAGAGGTCACCCAGCAAGTCAGTGAAAGAAACAGAATTAGAACTCAGGATCTCAAACTCTAAGGATATTATTTTCTGTTATATACATCTTATTACTTCTTGGTTTATCTTATCGAACACAGAAATCTTAGTCACTGTGTTGACAAATGACAAATTAAAGCAAATATATGATAGTGAGCCAAAGAGCACTCCACTTTGTCACATATGATCTTGTTACAACTTTTTAGACAGAAGGCAATGATTACACTAAGTTTTACTAGTGAGTCATTTATCACTTAAACAATTCAATAAAAAAAACAGACCAAATATTATCATATAAAGAGCAAAGGACTGGGAGACAAGACACTGTGTTCTAACTACAGCTCTAGCTCCGGGCGGCTGCAAGAATGTGCTTTCAACCTGCCCTCTTCAGTCTCTGCTCTACATCTACAAAATAAATGGACATGGTCTCAGTGATTTCTACTGGGGAAGTTACTGGCCTTTTGGGCAAGATTATTCTTTGTTGTACAAGACTGTCTCACACATCGAGGGCATTTAGCCTCTCTAGCCCTTGCCTCTCAAATGCTGGTAACTTTCCCCAGTAGTTGGGGAAAAAAACCCTGCCCCCACACGTATTTCCAAATGGAAAGGGCAAGGGGTAGAAGGGTTGATAGGTGGGGTAGACTTTGTTTCCCTAGAAGATGATCTCTCTTAGTCAGGTTCCTTCAAGTGCCAAAATTCTATAAACTAGTAATCCTTCAGCTTTATTTAAGTGACAAGTCCATGACTGAAAAAGAGTACAGAAAAGAAGGAAATCATGGATGATTTAGAAAACACATGGTATAATTTTAGTCCCAGTAATTCCATTGCTAGGACCTAGCCCAGGAAAACCGACACTGTAAAGCTTTATGGGCAAAGGTTCAGTCATCAAAACACTACTTCTGAGTTGAATGATTTGAAACAACCCAAACAGGTAACATTTATTGACTACTTACAGGTGCCAGACATTATTCTAAGTACTTTATTTCCCTGCTACACAAAGTATAGCACATCACTTAGGAGCTTAATGCAGAATCTCAGGCCCCACCCCAGACCTACTGAATCAGAATCCGTACTTTAACAAGCTCCTCAGGTGACAAAAGAGTTTAAGAAACACTACTTTATAAGCATTAGTTCATTTAATCTTCATAACATGTCTAATTAATTTAATCCTCAAAACAACTCTATAATGTAAATACTATCATATTCCACTTTACAGATTAGTAAACTAAGGACCAGAACATTATGTAACTTACATAGGAACTGTCAGAGCCAGGACTTGACTTCACACATTCTCATTCCAGAATCCAAACTCTAAACCATCATTGTATATTATTTCTCAATTTTTAAACAAGTTATAGTATCTCCATAAAATGGAATATTCTGTAGTGATTAAAATTAATGTTTAAGGAATTTTTAATGACACAAGGAAATAAAGTAGGCAGTAAATAAAACTGAATATATGGTATGGTCTCAAATGCGTAATTTTAAAAAGTTATACACACACTCACTTCAAATAAGATCTAGGGAAAAACTGTTACTATGGGGAGGCAATATATGAATCCGGTGTCAGAACGCCAGAGTTCAATTCCAGCTCCATCACTTATGCTCAGGGATCTTAGGTGAGATGCTTAACCTTTTTAAGCCTTATTTTCCTCTTCTATAAAAGGAGAATAATATTTACCTCGCAAGTCCATTGTGAGAATTAAATGAGGTAATCTATAAAATGCTTAAGCATTAAAAATTGTTATTATTTCTCATCACACTTTTTCATTTTTCCAAATTTTGTACAGTAAGTACTTATCACATTTCGGTAAGCAGCAAAAAAAAAAATAAAATAAAACTAAATAAAAATACAGAAAAGAAGGAAGATAATGCCTTAGATTGTCGACTATCTTATTTATAAAGGGCTATCATAAAGAAAGTACCTATTTCTCTGATTAGATAAGACTGAACTCAAGCAATTAACAGTTGAGTAAGATAGCTAAAAAAGATCTTTAAATAAATATGATTAAATAGTGAAACTGAGTAAGGGACACCGAGCCAGTTACTCTCTGGGATGGCCTTTACTCCGAACAAAGTCCGCCATCCACCTTGAATGATTTAGGCATTCCAACTGCCTGGCAGTGCCTGGTTGACCTTGAACAAGTTACCAGACCTCGCACAATGCCTCAATTTTCCTCACATGAAAGGAATGACATATTATCTCCCTTGGAGTTGTGAGGATTTAATGAGAAAACGTGTGTAGAGCACTAAGCACAGTGACAAACAAAAGCAAGCATTTAATGTTAGCTAAAATCTATCATCATCATCATCATCCTTTGGCTGGAGGAGACTTCTTGAGCTCCTATTCCAGCAATGAAAATATATTCACTTTTCAAACCACAATTCAATCGTGTTTTCATTATTACTGAATCACTTATATCTTCAAAGAGCTATTTTATTCCAAAATTATCAAGGTCACAGAGCAAAAAAAAAAAAAAAGATTTGGATTCTTAACTAACTTCAAAACTAGTAGTAGCAACCCAATTCAGGGGGGGTTTCTCCACATTTTTAATATCTTTGAATACATACACACTAGTAAACAAATGAGTAAGTCTTGTCTTTAAATACATCAACTCCATCAGCTACATCTAGGTCAAAGCTTTCCACCTGATAAAATTAGATCGGAATCAGTGTTAAGATTTAGAAAAGCCCAAGGATCACCCAGTCTGATCCTTTCGTTTTACAAATGGATTTAGGAAATGTAGTTAACTGATGAACAAGGAAAACATTCAAATGCTAATCTAGTGTTTAAGGAATTAGTCCAAATCCTAAAAGGAACACATAATAAACCTCAGTTTAGACTTTCAAAAGGACACCAGTTTTTAGCTCAGCTAAAGGTGTTACTATTATTACCACGTTTTAGGTGTAAGTGGGAGCTTCCTTTCTCACTTTCAACAGTACTGAATCCACAGCTTTGAATTCTATTTCAAAACAGTTATTTATCACAAGGAAGGGAGAGGAGAGAAAATAAGGAGCTCTTATTTGACATCTAATTCAAAAAACGGTAATTTTTTTTTAAAGCTGAATCAGAGTTCATATGCACGGTACAGGACTACAATGAGAATACTTTTCTTCATGTTTATATAAAAAATTTTAAAGAAAATAGATTTTAAACATAAAAATATGCTCAACTTCACTAACTAAATGACAATTAAAAGGACAAAATAACGAAACGCCAATTAGAGTTGCAAAAATTTAAGTCACTAGATTTGAAAAAAGATTTATCTTTCAAATGCTGACTTTATGATATCCTAATTTAAAAACTGCTGACAATCATTTCTATTCATAAGCAAGTAAGTATGTGCTCATGCATAAGTATACATATATTTATATATAAAATTTAACACATGTTCTGGAGAAAGTTAAGGGGGAAATAGGTATACTTTTGTGTTATTCATCAAAGTATAACTTCTATGACGAGGAATGTGACAATATCTGTCAAAACTGTAAATGCAGATGTCCTCTGACCCAGCAATTCCACTTCCAGTTTTTCCTACAGATGACATCCATATAGGAGAATTATCACAGGCACAAGGATACTCACTGCAGCACTACTTGTAGAAGTAAAAAACTGGCAACAATCTGAATGTACGTTAATTAGAAATTGGCTAAAATTATGGCGGACTCACAAAATCGAATACTATGCAGTCATTAAATAAATGAAAACGATATAAATATTAATATGGAAAGATCTCTAAATGATATTAAATCAACGATGTGTTACATAGAGCATCATTAGTTTTAAAATTTATATATAGAGATACATACTCATGCATAAGTATATATACTCCTCACTCTATTTCCTTTTATATATTTCAATTTTATCCTATTTACATATTACTTTTAAAGTTTTAAAATATTTATTTTAATTTAGATATGATTGTGTAATCCAAATTAAGTAATTAAATTTTCCTTCACTGATAGTTTTTAAATGTAAGAATCATAACATCAGCATTCTAAGGACAAATCTTTTTTCAAGCCGAGAGAGTCCATAATCAATATCAGCTCCAGCACAATTAAAACCCTAAAGCCCACTTCCAAGCAGAAACACGTATTGCTTACACTGCAGTAGAATTAGAGTGGGAGGACTCAGACCTTACCTGACCAGGTCTCCATGAAGCTGTAAATAAAGACTTTCCCTTCCCTCTCCAGCACATATTTCTGATGCTGGTGTCTCTACTGTGCAAAGGACAAGATGTAAGTCGGAGGAGGAGGAGGAGGAGGCAGAGGAGGTGGCGGTTGTAGTGGCAGTGGTAGTGTCTGCTCCATAAAGGTAAACGCAGCCTCTCTTCACATCTTCTCTCAGCCAGTCTCTTTCTCGAGAACCAAACCTACTTCTCCTATTCAAACAATTTCTGCTCCCACTGCGTTTCATATTTCTCTAAAAAAAACACCAAGAGAAAAGAAATCACTAGCTAGAATGTCTGAGTGAGGCATGTTCAGTCCTCATCCCACCTTTCCACTCTAAAATCACCTGTATCTGCCATGCCCATTCTTCACCTGGAAAACTTAGTTTTCTTTACAGCTAGCTGTTCATGTCTCTATCATCTTCTCTGACCCATTCTTTTTCTTATCTTTTCAGAAAAAATGTCAGTAATAAAACATCCATCTACCTACCAGCCAACATACACAAATTTTAAAATTTTGTCATATTTAGTTCCAATCATTATTCTAAAGAACATAGATACAATATATTCCTACATATACAACTGAAGCCACCTGGTACCCCACCACAATCCCACATCCCTCTTCCTCTCCCCAGAAACAAACACTACTGTATCTGATATTTATCATCCTATGCATTTGTATATGTTTGCCATATATGTACATACCTATAAACTATATATAGTATTGTTTCATGTGATTTAAAACTTTAAACCCTAACATACTTATGTTTCACCCTGCCATTTTTTAATTTTTATTTCAATCTGGTTGTTTTAGAGATATATCCATGCTAATACACCCAATAAAACAAGAGTGAGATGGCTCCTTCAAATGGGTAATATTCCATTTTTGAATGCAATGAAATTTATCCATTCTTCTATTGATGGTGTTTTAGTTTGTTTTTAATTTTTCACTGTTGGAAACAATACTGCAATAAACATTTTTGTACATGTCTCTATATGCAAATTGAAAGCTTCTCCAGGGTCCTGACCCTCTGCCTTATATCCCACATAAGTACAAAATCAACACAATATTGAACAACTATTCTTTCCATTCCCATCATGTTCCAAAAAAAATTACTGTTGCATTCGATAATTTTGCCCCGTGAAATTCATATACATTGTAGAGTCACATTATCTCAAAGCAAAAACTGCTACAGCAATATAACAAGATTCTAAATATTTACCTCTCTATTTTTATGATGGGCCATTTTCTGTTCTAATAAACAAGAGATTTCCACTAACAATTACACTGACATACCTCTCCAGGGTCATGCCCCATTGCCTTTCATTCTGTTTCAGTCAATCCAACTACTTACTCTCTAAACACACCAGCTATTCCACAATTCTGTGACTTGTCTGAAATGTTCTTCTCCATCTTATCCACCTGCCTAGACATTCTTCAAAACTGCTCAGATGTGACCCTCTCTATGCTCTCTATGGAATTATCCATGTCTCTCATCCCCATCTTTCTCCTTCTACCTAGAAAGAGTGAATGACTACTCTCTCCTCAACAGAACTTGTTTCCCTTGAACATACTTATATTACTAAATCGATTGCAATGGGGTTTAACTATTTATTTGATATTTCTTCCTCTATTCTACATTAAGAATCTATTATAGTGCCTTAAAACCTAGGTGGCACAGATATGCATGCAGAACTCAGTTGATATCACAGAAATTTATTCTGGGTCCGTACATTTTCCCAATTAGCTCTGGCAAGAAGTTAAACAAACTTGGGGGTGGGGTAATCTCCATTTTCACAGAGAACTCTATGATCTTTTCTTTGAATCAGCCAAAAAGTAAACAAAATACTTTTGTTACTTATTCCTCATTGGGAAACAGAACTACCTATAAATAAAGCAAATACTATTTTTATAATTACTGAGATTAATATTTTAGGATAATTATAGCACCTAAAATTCAATTTGTAAAGGTGGTAAAGAATGGAAAAGGAAATAAAACAAGAGTGAGAATGGCTTCATTGTTTTAAGTTTAGGATAACATAAGTAAATTGATCATTTTAGGGATTTGAGTATAGCTATTCAGATCTTAGGGATCTGAGTATAGCTATGCAAAACCATGAAGATTATCACTGATTCTAACTATAGATAAGTAGGATAAACCCCTGCAACAAGTGGGAACTAGGTCTCTCCTCATCAAGAGCATCTTCTTAAAGCTGAACATCTCAGAATTAACAAAGGGCTTTCAAGCACTTATTTTATAAACACAGGAGCCATCACGGTTGTACCACCAAATAATTTTAACCACTGAATAATTCAATGGTTAATTTTAAATATTTGTTATTTTTTAATCTTTGGGAAAGATCAACTGATCCATCTGAAAACAGTATTCTATACAGTATATTTATACAAATAAGTTCTGCACTGAGTGAAGAGAAATTTTGCTCACTGCCATTAAGAGCAATCAGACACTATGCCACAAGACCACCGAAAACCTTCTTCCAAAAAACTTTTTAAGGCCAAATAATGGCTCACTGACCTTCTCAATCTTAGAAAAGTGAAGACAGACCCCAGGAAGTATTAGTTTATCCATGATTTTTCTTCTGAGGATTTTTAAGTCATTTTTTAATGTGTATACATATTTCCCTTAAGACTATAAATTCTTTAAGGAATTTTACATATTGAAACATATGTACTGTTGGTCAAAGAATGTATCCCCTGACTAGATGCTAAATTCTACCCTATGAAGATAAACCGCTGAGTTAGAACTTTAACAGGGGTCCCTGACCCCGGGGCCACGGACCGTTGCGGGTCTGTAATCTGTTAAGAACTGGGCCACACAACAGAAGGTGAGCGGCGGGCGAGCGAAGCTTCTTTTGTATTTGCAGCCGCTCCCCAGCGCTAGCATCACCACCTCAGTTCCACCTGAGATTGTCAGGCATTAGATTCTCATAGGAGCACTGGTCCCTGATACGAAAAAGGTTGAGGACCGCTGCTTTGGTGGATATCACTGGGCATTTAAAAGGCCTAGAAACTAAGAAAGCACAGTCCTCTTGCAAAAATCTAGATGGAGTGTTTAGCTATTATTAGCCACCACTGAATTACCTAGTGCTTTCTCGTCCACTGCCTAAAGCATCAGGTAACTGCTGGAAAGGCCAATACTATCCTCTGAGATGCTTTCAGCTTTTAATAATCATTATTCCACTGGAACTGCTCCACTGAGAACATTTATTTTCTCCCTCCCTTACTTTTACATAAGAACTGTTGACAAACTAATCTATAAGGAAACACAACTATAATCACCTCTCACATCAAACAAGTGTATAAAGAACACATTTAAGATTTTAAAATATTTCCAGAAAGCAAAAGTTTTTAGAGTAAGCCATGAGTTAAATACTTACTTCAGTTTTATGCTTTTAACTATAAAAATGAAGATAATATGTGAGGGCTGTGAACATTTCAAATGTGATAAACTATTAAAGGCCCACATACAATTAACTCTAAGATATGCATGGTAAAAACAAAGTCTGGTAAAGTAACTGTCCATACTTAATGAGCACTATTAGAATGTAAAATATCTTAAGGGAGGAAATATATTCCTGCATTCAAACTTTAAAATAATATGGGCTCATCTCTACAAATATACATTTTAAGGTATATTCTGGAAAGGGTAGGATGAGATAGGAGAGGAAGACCATTTCAGTTCATTAAAATCTTTTTGGTATTAATTCATTTTTTAAAACCATATGCATTTAAATACCAAAATACATTATTTTAATCAAAACTTAAAACTATTGTTGAAAAAAACAAATTTCATCACATTCACTGACTGGATTAGTTGTAACTTCCTATCTTCCACAGTAAAAAAAAAAATCCTAAAATTGGAGGAAACATCTAGAAAATTTATGCTTCAAAGGTACTCCCAATTATCTTAAGAGTATTAAAAATATCACACCTATTTTTCAACTACAACTACAAAGGGTACATTCTAAATAGCAATTTGCTAAATAAATCTGGGGACAGATTTTGAATCAAATTTTCCAATAATCCATACAGATGGACCTAGATCTAATCTGGCTAAATTACACTGGCTTAGTTATATTAGCCTTTCTATGAAGATCTGTAAGAGATAAAAAAAAAAAGAATACGCCTTTTCCAAAGGGTCTTCAGAGAATAACATGTAGATTATGACTTTCCTTCCAATTCAGAAAGTCTTCTACTTATATATTCTTTTCCAGTTTCACTTGGCACAAAATTCAACCACTCAGCTATTTAAGGGAACTTCTGTATGTAGAACACATAGCACCTATTCTCCATAGCGGATCCCATTTATTTGCAAGGATTATTTAAAGCGTTAGCCATATGCAATAAAGCAAGGAATACGGAGGGCCTTAAACACTGTCAGCCTCCCACACCACCAGCTCAGCACTATAATCAATCAAATGGTCCCCAGATTGGAACCCCAGGGAGCCAATGATACACAAGACCACTTCCTGGAAGTGTAGGAAGGTAGGACTTTTCAATAAAGATCCTAATTTCTCAATTTCTTCCTTCTCACAACTTAGCCTCTCCTCACCAAAATAAGTTCTTACAAAAAAAAAAAGAAAGCTAAAGCTGTTTACCTTCTAGGCCAGAAGGCATTATTTCTCTCTCAGACCTGCCATTTCTAGATAAACCAGGCTGGTTAAACTTTTTTTTTTTTAATGCATTCACAATTTACATTTTTGTGACCTTATGGTTTTAAATAAATATCCAAAAGCCTTTGGGTAATTATATTTGCAACTTATAGTTAAATAAGTTACAACAAATATGTACAAGGTTTATGCAGAAGTGAAAATAAACTATGGAAAGTTATTTCTCTAAATCGCTGGATTAAAATTGGAAGGTAGTGGCAGAAAAACTGTTTTATATTTTACAGAGTTCTAGTTTGTTACATGGATTCACCACGCGCTTCAAATCTATTATTTTTCAGTGTTCTCATCTTTGTGATGTACTAATAATCTTAATAAAAACCATATTGTGCTCACTCTCGATCTCAATTAACAACTATTACTTGACGTATTTTTTAACACCAGGTATTTTCATTGTTTTGCAAAGTATTTTTGAAACACATCAAAGCTAAATTTTGTCTCTCTTCCTTTTCTCTGGTAAGTTTTAAATCCTGCTGATTCCTCTTCTAGAACTCTAGAAGGCATTCCAGTCCATCTTCAGAAGGACATCTAGTTTACATATTTGACCTACTCCAACTATTTCAAAGGCTAGTAGGAAACACCATCCAGTTGGTCTCCCACAACCCCTGCTTTTATGTATCCTCACTGTCCCTTCCCCACCCTACATTCCTTGTGCATTTGAACTTCTTGTCATCACCTTCAAGGCTCACTCCCCCCACTTGCCTGCATCTGCTTTCATTTCCTCCTACTCCCCCCAATTCCTGCCAAAAAGCCCCGCTAGCTGCCTGTTGCATAACGACTCCCCCATTACCATCTCCCTGGATTGTTAGGCCCGCTCCCGCAAGCAGGA